TGCAGCTCAAGGGCAACATCTACTGGATCTAAAAGACGCACATTTAACCGATAAAGTAAAGGGAAGTACAAAGTTGGATCCAAACTCCTGTTACTCTGATTGTGTTCATGTTTGGCTGTTTTCATAACAATTAGTCAGCTCCTTATTTCAGTGAAACAGCTGATTGTCTCCTCGACATGTGACGCAAGATATAAGAAGAATATACAACATGCAATGACATTGTTCACTATTGCAATTTAAAATGAAGTGCAAAAATGTCAATGCTTTGAGTAGTCAAGTCCAGCTTCATCTGAGTACATCAAAATGCTGTGAAAGCGTGGTCCTTTAACCCTGACCTCCTCCATGTAAACAACCGCCATGTTCATGACATCATCACTGTTAGTTTAATACATTGGGGGGGGGGGGGGGGGGGGGGGTGGTTGTCCTATTGATGACTAGGCAAAGACACATCCCGAGCACTAATCCTAATCCATCGGGATGAACCACGATAACCAGGCAGAGAGAGAGAGTGACAGATGTGCAGCTGAGACAGCATCAGAGATGGACTATCACAGAATTAATCATGAGGTCTTCTCTACACGACAACAACACGCTGTATCAAAAGAGGAAGCTAAATGTCCCTTTGGACTCTTTCATGATCACTTCAGTTTGAATGAAAGACTGATGTTTAAAAATGACGTCGCCCATTAGGGCAGAGCAATCAATCCTAAGAGGAGAAGGTAAAGTGTTATAAGGCAGGAGAGAAAGGAGCCAGATGTTTTGCAGAGTCCTAACAGTGGGAACACTAAGACTCTGTATTTAATATTCAAAGGTGATTCCCACTGTCATCATGCGTTCTGGCTGATTGTCTGAAACCTGACATCTGTGAGACGATCGCTGGGGAGAATACAGTCAAATGAAATTCTTGAAAAAAAAAAATCAAAAATACTGAGATCAGACACAGTGGTACACCCAACGAGCTCTTTTCTCTGATCCCCGGCTCCACACAGCTCACGACTGCAGCTGCTTGGCTCAGCGATCTTATGTAATGTCATTACAGTGTATTTATTACAGCTCTGTTGCACGGTCGAAACCCGGTTTAAGCTGCAGCAAGTCGGGAAAGGGACACATAGGAGATACCTGATCCCTGCTAGCCTCCATCCTGCTGTGAGATGTTTCATAGAGCTGATTGTTTTCAGTTTCTGCTGTGATGTCTGATATTTAGCATGTTGTATCCACAGCCTGTTAGGGAGCATCTTCTCCACTCTTTGAGTTATAGAATAAGTCAAGGACTAACTATATGATAAAGACAGAGGGCCGCTAACATCAGCTGAATCAAGCATAACGAAAATACATCATAGAACATGTGTTGGTCAATAAAAACCACGTTATGATTTAAAAACTGAATGTTTAATAGAAGTCTAATCCTCTTACAAAGCTCAATCCTCAGTGAGGCTGTGAGAAGTGTAACGATACACGTGAGAAACACACTGCCATGTTCTGTTTCCAACACTCAATTTTAGTTTAGAGACAACATGCAAATATTTACCGCATTTTAAAGGTCCAATCAGTGAGATGTGTAGTGAGGTAAATGATAAAGTGATCTTACTATCTGATCAGACATGAAGGAAACATGCTATGTTGAAGTGCTGGCTTCTCTGACAACAATGCAGCAGCCAGTATGTCCAGTATGCTCCTGAATGCTCTGGATTTGTTTGGACCAGAGAAGGTAGGAGGTTTTAAGACACACCCCCACACGGCCGTTTTGGACGCCCCTCTGTTTGTCAGATATGAGAGCAGTTATCAGGTCAACAGGTGTTGCAGTGATGGAAGCGGTCAAGAGAAGTGGTTCAGATAGAAGTGATTGTACCCGACCTAAAAAGCCTCTGCATGTTTCTAATAAGCTCCACGAGCAGAAACGTGCTCAAACTAGGATCAATATTGGAGATGCTTTTGAAAAATGGAGAGAGGTTAGAACACAGAAAGGTTTACAGACCCATGCAGAGCTGGATAAACACTGAAGCTTCAGAGTCCACCACATGGTGACCTGTGAGAGCATCGACTCCAAAGGGGGGGGGGGGAGACAGATGTCTACAATGTTTAGAATTTAGACTGCAGTACCTATTTAACCACTAAAGGTCGGAGTTACATATTGCTCCTTTAAAAAAAAAAATTCCTGTAATGAGGACTTCTTAAGAGAAGTGTGTGGACATAGAGAGTGGGGTATACGTGCATTAAAGAGTAGAGGTCAGGAGTTGAACTTCTAAGTGAAGTGTTGAGGACTGAAGCCACTTTATATGGGAAGCTTCTGCAGTCAGCTTCAAGTGGACACTCAAGGAACTGCACTTTTATTGCACATCCACATTGTCTTCATTTTTCAACACTGGAGGTTGTCGCTTGGATCTGTCCATGTTCCTGACCGTCATGTGGTGTGACATAACGCGTTGCTTTTGTAGGTACTCTGAGGTTGTAAACGAGGAGTCACTGCTTGTGTTTATTTGTTCAGGCTTTTTAAAAACGGTTTCACAACAATGACAAACAGAATGAAAACTGGTTACTCTGACAAACAAGCATCGTTTGGGGAAAGAAAACCTCAAGACAAACAGCATGTTTAGTCAAATAGACCACACTAACCGAGACCAAGACATACCAGAGTGCTCCGAGACCGAGACCAAGACATTTAGGGATCGAGACCGAGTCAAGGCCTTAAATATCACTGAATAATCATTTTGTGTTCATGGGGCGTGTCACTAACTTAGACTGTAACACCGGGAAGGTTGCGGCCGTAACGGGGGGATAAAAATCAAATCATGAATTAATTGAAGTTATTTATTGTTAGATAGATAGATTAGAAAGAGACATTTTCCTTTTAATCACAGTGATGGTGTGGAAAACAAGTCTCTCAGTGGTGGTTTTGAACGTTCTTGATTTAAAATCCTGAGTCCATCCAGTCTGAGACTGAGACCTTCAAAAAGTGATCTCGAGACCGGACTTTTTAAAGGTCTTGATTTCGAGTACGACAACACCAGCTCCTGGAGCCACATGTCTCTGGACAAGACACTGAACCCCCGACCTTCAGGTCGAGAGATGACCGACTGTACCACTGAGCCACAGCCGCCGCCCTGCAGGACAGAAGACACAGCATGTCATGATAAAACTTCAAGAGCCTTGTGTGTGTGTGTGTGTGTGTGTGTGTGTGTGTGTGTGTGTGTGTGTGTGTGTGTGTGTGTGTGTGTGTGTGTGTGTGTGTGTGTGTGTGTGTGTGTGTGTGTGTGTGTGTGTGTGTGTGTGTGTGTGTGTGTGTGTGTGTGTGTGTGTGTGTGTGTGTGTGTGTGTGTGTAGAGGGCCAGTGAGCTGTTTGGAAAAGATGACCTTGTCCTGAAAGCCTGTTTCCGCTTGGAGGCCGATGGTTTTCCTGACAGACCTGCCTGGACACTTCCTGAGCTGAGTCTGCTGTGATCTATCGTGTTGTCTACGTTTCAAACCAGCAGTGAGGTCAAACTTGCCCTCTGCATGTGAAAATGTTTCCCCTTCACACCCGTCGTCTGTACAATGTGTGTGTCCATGCGCTGGCTGTTTTTTTCCCTCTGGACTGAGATAGTTTGCAGTTGTTGAGAGAGGATGTGTTATTCATGCAGCGTCGGGGGCAGATCTATAATCTCACTGGAACACAGAGTGGCCTTTCACATGGACTTCCCCTGTGCTCCCAGGCGCTCGATACAGCTCCCTGCTTCTCTGCTGGGCCCAGTCTGTTTGTTTGAGTCGCCATGGAGGTCACGCTGTTAGCCCGCCTCTCCGGGGTGACTCGGCTTTATCCAGGCCCAGAGTTTTCCGGAATCCTCTCTTTTCTGTTTTTTTTTCCAAGTAGAGGTGTTTACATATTTGACTCATCATCTGTATAGCTATGTCTGCATTTCTTTATTACTGCATCCGCCCGCCGCCACATCTTTGACGGCAATAATGAGGATAATTACGATGATAAGTGCTGGTGAGTCAGGGGTCAGCTGACAGTAATCTCAGCTCACAGAGTGTTTACATCGGCATCTTTAGGTTGAGTTAAAAGTCTGGAATCACAGGGGCGACGAGCACAACATGTATTGACTGACTTGTGACATTTGTTTCAGGCATTTGCTCACCGTCATTGAGGGGTTAAACTGGTTTAACATGTTTGTAGTCCTTGTAGTCCTACCCTTTTTCTGCCTGTTTCACTGCTTGTGTCAGAAGAGCTGTGCAGCTGTTTATGCTTTTATTTCATTTGTTGGCTTGGAGCATCATCAGAGAAAATAAATATGATTAGATGAATGAAATCGACACACAGAGAAGAAGAGTTCAGTCTTTGTCATCCATTTCCCCAGAACTCTGCTCTTTGAACTTTGAACTCTGCAGGTCTTTTGGGCTCTGAGACCATGTTTAGACCAAGCGGCAACCTCCTCTGCTGAAAAGTGAAGACAATGCAGAAGTGCAAAATCCTGCAGTTCCTCGAGTGTCCACTTGAGGCTGGCTCCAGGAACACAGGAAGTCACATACACACAACAGGCAAAAAATCTGTTTTTAAATAAACATGTTTAAAGCCTGGTTCAAAAAACCAAATAGGTCTGATTAGTTATTGTCATCACTGGCATACACTGTACGGGGGTGAACTTTTTAAAAACAGCTCCGTTTAGATTTTGAAAATGATACGTGTTATCCATAGTCAGGCGTGTAGCTGACCTGATTGACAGGTGGGCGCGGTGTAACGGTTTGTCAGGAGGTTTAAAACCCGCCTCAGCTCCAGCGCTCAGCCTGTCGTTAGGTTGACTGAAAGTTAGACTGAGACAGCATTTCCAGCATGGCGGCTGCTGCTGATGAGCCTCTGGAGCCCCCTGCAGGAAGAGATGGCTGATCTCTTACACTTACACTTGATCTCTGATATATTGATGAGTGAAATGTTGCACATGTTAGAGTACAAACTGAAGAAGAAGTTGTGTTTTGTTTCACTTCCCATGATGTTTCTCTGTCATACACTCTTGTTTTTCTCACAGAGGCTCCCTACAACGAGACCTCATCTTCATATGGCTTTGAACTGGAGCCGTCAGAAGAGCAGCAGCCCAGCCATGACTCTCTGTCCCTCACAGGCTCTCCATCGTCCTCCCCAAGACTCCGCTCCAAGAGCCGACACAGCCGAGACACCCAGTCCTCAGGCTCTCTGGAGTCCACGCTCTCGGTAATGGAACTGGGTCAGCTCCCACCATCACTTCTCTCTCAGTTTGGCAGTCCTGCTGCTGCTGCTCCCTCTTTTATCACTCTTCCTGGCTACTGCATTGTCCTTCACTGTCCTCACTCCTCACACCATCCAACACTTTCAGCAGCAGTGGCGCCTCATTTTGTACTGAGAAGTCTCTGTTTTTCTGCCTGGCATTGCCTCTTCTTCTCTCAAGACCTGACAATCTTCCTCCTTTTTTCATCAAAGGAATCATTTTTAATGATTTATGTCATATTTTAAAGGCCACATATTCTGTAAAATCCACTTCTCCATGTTCCTCGGGAACCGTGTCTCGGGTCCGTCTACAAACCCCACAAATGATAAGAAAAGTCCATCCTCTCCGTCTTTTGCCTGCTCCACTTTTCAGAAAATGTGTGCTCAAACAGGCCGTTTGGAGATTTTCCCTTCATGACATCACAAAGGGCAGTAGCCCCTCCCCCAGGTGGGTGACACTCCCACAGCTAGGTGTTTGTTCTGCCCTCTGAGTCTGCCTTCTTACTGTAAACAATAGGACATGGAGCGAGAAAGCCAGAGACACCCAAGCCCTTCCAGAGAGGGGGCGTGGTCACATACAGCTCATTTACATATTTAAAGGTACAGACACAGAAACAGCCTGTTCTGAGCAGGGCTGAAATAGAGGGGTTTATAGACATGATCAAATACAGGATCAGAGTGGATTTAGAACAAGAAACGTCACACACATGTTTTGAGGAGCTCTGAGACTTATTTAAACTGGATGAAGAGGAGGAGAATATGTGACCTTTAATAAACACCAGCTTTACACCTCTGCAGGACCCCTCCCAGCTCATGTTGTTGTTGCGGGATAACAGACGGTCCAGGTTTGATTAAACTGTGTAGGAGTTTTACATTCCAGGAGGCCGCCACCAGAGCCTCCGAGCGTCTGAAGGATGAAAAATGAGTTTTTAGTCAACGAGTCATTAATCTAAACAGGTCATCGGTCATCCTGCTGCTGACTGTTAGTATAAAAGCTCACAGGAACCCAGAGAATGTTTGTATCAGGCTCGGCCATTATATCTTTTTTCTTACAGCTGCGGCCCCCCAACCCGCTCCAGCATAGTTTAGGCTTTGAAGATCTTCAAGTGTTCACATCAGAGGATAAGAATACCACAGACAGCAGAGAGGGAGGGGGGGGCGGGGTCTCTTCTGAACATCTGTTCACCCACTATGACCGCTGTCCTTGTATGCTGTATGTAAGCCCTCCTTGGCACTGAAAGACCCTTCCTCATGTGCTCTTTGTTTTTGACTTCTTGAAGCTTCAGTCGGAGCAGCTGATTGAATGCCTAGCTGAGGGGGGGTGCTTTTCTCTGTAGAGCTCTCCACTAAAGTTTATTAACGCAGCGTGTTTGAGGGGTTTGGATAATGTCCGTCATGACTCTGAAGGGGGCTGCACGCTGGTGCAGTAGTTATCAGTCAATCAATCTTTATTTTTATAGCGTCAACTCATAACAAGTGTTATCTCGAGACACTTTACAAAAAGCAGGTAAAAGACCTTACTTATTGTTATGTTACAAAAAGCAGGTAAAAGACCTTACTTATTGTTATGTTACAAAAAGCAGGTAAAAAACCTTACTTATTGTTATGTTACAAAAAGCAGGTAAAAGACCTTACTTATTGCTATATTACAAAGACCCGGCCTATCCATCATGAGCACTTTAGCAAAGCAGCAAAAGTTACAGTGGTAAGAAAAAACTGCCTTATTAAAAGGCAGAAATCTTCGGCCGGATCCCCGGCTCATGACGAAACAGCCTTCACAGGCCTAGACTGCACCGAGGTTGGAAAGGGATAGGGGGAGAGATGGGATAAGATGCAGGAAGAGGGATAGGGAGCAAGGGGGTGGGGGTGTTGTTCAGGCAGGTTAGCAGTATCACCTCACAGCGAGGAGGTTCCTGGTTTGAATCCCCGTCTGACAGGAGCCTCTCTGTGTGGAGTCTGCATGTTCTCCCTGTTCATGCATTGGTTCTCTCCAGGCTAAAGACATGCTGGTTACACATGTTAGTGTCAGAGGAACATGGTGAAGTGATTGACATAATATGTGGCTTTTAAAGACAAAGTCCCTTTACATGTTTACATATCCTATCTTAAAGCTTCCTTGATTCCTTTTGTGTTGAGGGTTTCTTGATTTGATGTTTATCTCATCAGGTGGAGTTGGATCAGGAAAAAGGACTCGAGATGAGAAAGTGGGTTCTGTCAGGAATCCTGGCCAGTGAGGAGACCTACCTCAGCCACCTGGAGGCTCTACTGATAGTATGTATAATTTCTGATTTGTCATTATTCACTCAGTCAGTCAATAACAGTTTTGTACTTATGGACTGTGTTTATGTCTGCAGCCCATGAAGCCTCTGAGGGCCGCAGCCACGACCTCCCAACCGGTGCTGACCATCCAGCAGATCGAAATCGTCTTCTTCAAAGTGCCGGAGCTTCACGAGATCCACAAGGACTTCTACGATGCTCTGCTTCCTCGAGTCCAGAACTGGGGCCACCAGCAGTGTGTGGGCGACCTCTTCCAGAAACTGGTACGATGGTGATGACGTCTTTGTGAAAGTGCATGTTAAAACAAGTCATCAGAAACGTTACAGAAGTGACTCACTGCCTTGTTTCATGAATATTAATGTTAAAACAACCACACCAGCTAATCCATCAAAGAACAAATGTCATCAGACATGCCTCCATTTTTAAGGTTTATTTATTTAAAGGAGCAGTATGTAACTCTGACCCCGAGTGGTTAAAATGGGAACTGCAGTCTAAATTCTAAACATTGTAGAGAGCTGTCTCCCCCCCTCCTCTCTAGAGTCGATGCTCACACAGGTCACCATGTGGTGGACTCTGAAGCTTCAGTGTTTATCCAGCTCTGCATGGGTCTGTAAACCTTTCTGTGTTCTAACCTCTCTCCATTTTTCAAAAGCATCTCCAATATTGATCCTAGTTTGAGCACGTTTCTGCTCGTGGAGCTTATTAGAAACATGCAGAGGCTTTTTAGGTCGGGTACAATCACTTCTATCTGAACCACTTCTCTTGACCGCTTCCATCACTGCAATACCTGTTGACCTGATAACTGCTCTCATATCTGGAAAACAGAGGGGCGTCCAAAACAGCCGTGTGAGGGGGTTTTAAAACCTCCTACCTTCTCTGGTCCAAACAAATCCAGAGCATTCAGGAACAGAATCTAAAGTTAGAAGGAGGACATACTGGCTGCTGCATAGAAGCCAGCACTTCAACATAACATGTTTCCTTAATGTCTGATCAGATAGTAAGGTACCTTTATCATTTCACTCACTACACATCTCACTGACTGGACCTTTAATGAAATAACCATGGTGGAAAACTTTGTCTCTGAGCAGAAACAGCATGAACCTGTTGTTCCACTTCTTTTCATATCGCTGGAATGCAGCAAAAAATCATCAGCCAGCAGCGTAAACAAGGAAGCCTGGGTGAAATAGAAGTAGAAGAAGCAGCCGAGCTAATACCAGATAAAAGTGTGAATAACGATTTGTAGAACTTTGAAACACTTGTTTACCTGCAGGATAAATATGTCTGCCCTTTAGGAAGAAGAAGATCAAACATGACATAACATGAAACCTCCAAGCAATGGTTTTTGATCAAACAGACCAACATTTGTCAAGTCAGCCTCGTTCAGAACCTAATTATAGAACTGCCTGAATGTCATACCTTTATGTTTAATGGTAGTAAAAGAAAGTGAAGTTTTTCAGTCTTAAAGGCTGTTAGTAATGTTCAGGGTTTCTTACAGTGCACATGTGAGTAGACTGCCTGGAGTCATCTCCCGGCCAGATAAAAGCCTCGCTGCACCACATTACAGGCAGTAAAGGAGAACAAAAACGCTCTATAGGAGGTCGCCGAATAAAAGCTACCTCACTCTCTGAAAAAGATGAAACTAGAAAAGATGTATTCAGAGACACGTGAGCAAAGATTGAGTCACTGACTTCTCCTTTAAAATCAGGTCTAATCACAGCACATAGTCTGACACGTCTCCTCTGAGCTGAAATAAAAAGTAATCTGTACTCTCTCTGTGTGTTTTGTAGGCCAGCCAGCTCGGAGTGTACCGGGCATTTGTGGATAACTACAAGGTTGCCGTGGAGACGGCGGACAAGTGCTGCCAGGCAAATGCTCAGTTTGCACAGATATCTGAGGTATGGAATCATGCCATGCACAGCAGGACTGATGCAGCCAAGTGTTTGATGTTTCACACTGATGACGAGGCGTTTTTTTTGTAGCAGTGGGCCAAGTGTAAAGAGCCACGCAGCTCTTTACAGAGGCACTGATTGTTTTTAACTGCTCTCGAGAGGTGGGGGGTGGTGGGGGGGGGTATTCTGTGATTTAATGAGGGACTTTTTTACTAACCGGTCTCTGTGATGTTATCTTCCTGCCAGAATCTCAAGGTCAAAAGCACAAAGGACTGCAAAGACCAGCCTGCTAAAAACTCTCTGGAAAGTGAGTAGTGAGTGAAATGAGCCTCCACATAAATCAATATTTATGCAAAAGTAGTTGAGCTGTTGATCTGACTCGTCCTCCTCCACAGCTCTTCTCTACAAACCCGTGGACAGAGTGACGCGCAGCACGCTCGTTCTGCATGTAAGTCAATCCTCCGGTCACATCTCTGGAGCAACAACATTGAGCTTTATGCATTGAAGTTGTAATCCTGTTTCCTCTGTTCCAGGACCTTCTGAAGCACACGCCGTCCTGCCACCCAGACTACCCGCTGCTGCAAGACGCCCTGCGCATCTCTCAGAACTTCCTGTCCAGTGTGAATGAAGAGATCACCCCCCGCAGACAGTCCATGACCGTCAAGAAGGGAGAGGTCAGTAAGGAGCACCAGTTTCAGGAAAGACTTCACAAGAGTAAATCCACTCCAGAAAGAATATCTAAGGGTGCACAAAATGAGGATAAAAATGTGCGCTCAGGAGCTCTTTCATGAAGCGCTCTAAGAAGAAAAGCGCTGCACGTCCGTCCTGTCTCCATGACAACAGTCTGTTGACAACAGCCGCTGTTTGACTGACACTGCTCCGTTACTTTTTACTGCATGTTTAATAGTTTTAGTTTTAGTTTTTTATTTTATTATTGTGTCATACATACATCCATATGCCCAGCCCGCATGGGCTTACATGACACCATAAATTAAAAACGTTCCCGGATCAGAGTGCACTAGGTAAGCTATATTCATTGTTAAGAAACAAAAAGAGAAAGCAAAAACAAGTAAAACTAATTCAACAGAATATCCTGTCTTCTTTTCCAAGCTTTTGAAACTAAATTAGCAAGCCATTAAACAGCCATTCCAGTTTCTGCACATCTGTCCGCCCCAATATTTCAGATTTTACTTCATGAAACAATAATTCTCTTAAATCATCATATTTTGTACAATGCAAAAGAAAATGGGACTCCATTTTCAGACCATTTTTCTTCATACTTGAGGTGAGCTGATCTTTCATGGAGTTCATGTTACAGCACAGATTATATTTTAGATCGTTTATTTTCCGACCTCTGCAACAAGATGCGATCTGAATGTGGCAAAAGTACGGGGAATGTCATACATTTTGAAAAGAGCGCTGGTGACATCAACAGCGCCTCTCTGAAAAGTTGGAAGTCAGCCCGGTGATTGACAGGCGACCAGTGCAGGGTGTAACCCCACCTCTCGTCCAAATGACAGCTGGGATCGGCTCCAGATCTACTCGGGACCCTGAACAGAAAAAGCGTTATAAATAAGGGATGGATGGATATCAATGTGTCTTTTTTTTGTTCTTCCTTTTGTAGATGATTTCATGTCTTAAGGTGCTCATAGGGGGAAGTTTGTCATAACTTGTGGTTCAATGAAGAGCAGCCAGAGGATTACAGATGTTACTGAGTAGAGCTTCAAAGAGACGGTCACAGAGACGGTCAGGACGTTTTTCTGGTATCACCTTCTGAATCAAAGTATACCTGTGCTGTTGTCTGAAGTCAAACCCACCAAATCATCAAGAATGAAATGGCCAGTACTGGAGTGAAGAGGTGCATGAGACACTGAGGTTTTTCTTTGGCGCTGAAAGTAAAGCACTGAGTGAAAGACAAAGACATCATAAGGTGTGGTAGTGTGATTTTATTTTGTCTGGTCTGAAGTGGTTTACTGACTGACACGCTGATCTACTAGTGCTAGAGTTATTTCTTGATTCACCTGATCAAATGATTGATTACCAGTTTATATTTTGTTCATACTGATCATGTTGGTCGTCCTTTTTTAAACCTTTTTACTTATTGGATTCCTCAAACAGCAGCCGTGTGGATTTCAGGCTTGTGTCTGCCCCCGTAGGTTGCGTCACATCTTGGCTGCCGACAGTAAAAAAGCTCCAGAGCACAAGGTGTCTGGAAGCTGCCATAAAAACCCAGAGTGTGAGTCAGGTTGTTGCTGACTCATCTCAGCTTGTCTGATTTCGATGTGAGGGAAGTGGAACGCAGAGGAAGCTCGTGACAAAACAGAGCAAACACCAGAGGCAAGGGGTCTCTCTCTCTCTCTCTCTCTCTCTCTCTCTCTCTCTCTGTTCGTGCTGCAGACCAGGAAAACCTGTTGCCACCCCCCCCGTTCACTCCCATCCTTCCTCGCCGCGGGGTCGACTGTGCTTCCCAGAAATGGCCTGCAGCTCTTCTTATAAAAGTGACTTGTCTGGCCTAGCCGGCGTTCTCTTCTGGGTGTGTTCTGACTTAATCTTGCTTCCTGACCCCGCTGCCTCCCCCCTACCCACCAAGCATGTCAGGGCTGCGATCTGGTTGACATGACTGGGAACTTCCTCTGAATTTTCCTTAGAATTGGCCTAGCCCTCCATGGTGGGATAAAAGATCAACCACATTTCTTGGGAATGTTATACCGACTTTGTCTTGAAGGTTTCTCACAAGTAGATTTAAAGATGAAAAAAGGACAGGATGAAGATACACGTTGTTGTTGTTGTTGTTGTTGTTGTTGTTGTTGTTGTTGTAAGTGATAAGCTCTTGACCAATATTACGCCGAGCACTGTGCAGCTTCTTGTTTTTCCATTATTGGATTATTGACTATTTGTGGTCATGGTGTATCTCTGAACAAAACGTGCATATCACCCGCGGACTCAGGCCAGAACTGAGCGGGTTGGAGCGCTGAGCTGGAGCTTTTAGAAAATTAGATAATGAAACTGTGCTGCGGTGATTTTTTTAAGCACTGTGGTCGGTGTGGGATGGCAAACACTCACACAGGCAAGCATCCCTGTAAGCAGCCTCGGCCCAGAGGTCAGAGGTCGGGAGGCAGAGGCGGATTGTGGAAGCATGCAGCTGCAGGGAGGAGCTCATGTCCAGTGCATGTGCCCTCGACCTCAGCCAGCTGAACAGATCAATGAGGATTAAAGGGAAGCTCTGAAATGAGGGTTCATTATGAGAACAAGACACAGGGTTAACGTTTCACAGCATGGCCTTCATGCTCGTTGTTAGAGCGCGCAGCTAGATTTAGTTTACAACAGTAATCACAAGCATCAACATTTTCACCTTATAGGTAATGACACGGCATGTGAGACTTAGCTCTCATTAAAACTGCAAGATCCCTAAAAACTGAACTTCTCCACTCATCAGGTTCATGTGTTTCTAAAGATTCAAAACCAACTTTAGTTTTTTTTTAACACCTTTCTGGTGCTGCCTCACGACCCTTTACTGTGAGCAGCTCCTCCATTTATTTTATTTTTTTATGTTTGTTGTTTTTTGTCATGATTTCCCAATTGAGCATTCTGCATACTCTGCAAACCACATCGAGAATCAGTTTGCAGTACGGCAACACAAACTCTAGTTACAGCTAGCATCAGCGTGTGGATGCATTTACTGACAGGGTGGCTGTGGCTCAGTGGTAGAGTCTGTCGTCTCACTCCTAGAAGGTCGGGGATTCGATCCCCAGCTCCTGCAGCCATGTCCGATGTGTCCTTGTTTAAGACACTTAACCCCAAGTTGCTCCCGCTGCTTCATCGGCGGTGTGTGAATGTGTATGACTAGATGAGTAAATTAAGTTAAGAAAATAAATATACAAGCTCAAGTCCAGTAGAGCTTCAAGAGAAAAAAAAGCTAGCATTAGCATGCAGTAACATTTTCAAAATGACAACATGTTGATGTTTATCACGTTTGCAGCGATGATGTCTTTGTTGACCATCTCTGTTTACTGTGTATCCAGACTGACGCTAACTGTCCTGAGACACAGCGCTGCACACATTTAAGCTACATGCTAAAGTTAGCATGGCTGAGGCTGACGGGGGTTTATCACTAGACCTGAATGTACACGATTATAAACCATACAGTACTACTTTAAATGACTCGATGAGGCGTCTTCAAATGAAGTCAGAGGACCAACAAAGGTTATTAAAAAGTGTAATGTTCAGTATTTCTTCATATCTGCTCATCAGAGCGTCAGTTGCTAAAGCTAGCGGTTCATCTTTACAATGAATCCTTACATCAGTCAGCGCTCTGCTCATGGTGGTTGATTATATGTCAGACACTTACATGCTTATGGTCACAAGATGTATGATTTATTGTTTGGAGTTGTCGGGTTATTTTGTCTACTTCCTGTACGAGGACGTACAATTACTGTACAACCACAGGCTGTACAGTAATTAGACACATGTACATACATCAGCGCAGTCGTTGTTCTCAGAGCCTGGACGTCAGTGTGAGGCGTTTATTTTGTTAGTTAGAGCTGTCTTAAAAAATTGAGATCATCACAGTGATGTTTGATGCTTCTGAAAAATGCTTTATGTGTTGTGACTTGATTTCTCGTGTCCTGTTGGCAGAACCGTCAGCTGCTGAGGGATCGCTTCATGGTGGAGTTGGTGGAAGGTTCCAGGAAACTCCGTCATGTCTTCCTGTTCACCGACCTGCTGCTCTGCACCAAACTGAAGAAACAGGCTGCAGGGTGAGTCTGGGTCTGATGTCGGGGGTCCAGACCTTGTCACCTGGGAGATCTTCATATTTAGATCCCTGTTGGGGAAACAAGGGTCTAGTGGTTATGTCGCCCCCCTGTAGGAGGCTCGGATTCAAGCCCGGTCTGAGGCTCCTTCCCTACATCTCATTACCCTCTCTCTGTCTCTCTCTGTCTGTCTCTCTCTGTCTCTCTCTCTCTCTGTCTCTCTCTCTCTGTCTCTCTTTCTCTCTTTCTCTCTCTCTCTTACTCTCTCTCGCTCTCTCTCTCTCTCTCTCTGTTTCTCTCTGTCTCTCTGTCTCTCTCTCTCTGTTTCTCTCTGTCTCTCTGTCTCTCTCTCTTTCTCTCTCTCTCTCTCTCTCTCTCTCTCTCTCTCTCTCTCTCTCTGTGTCTCTCTGTATCTCTCTCTCTCTCTCTCTCTCTCTCTCTCTCTCTCTCTCTCTCTCCTCTGTGTCCTACTCTGTCCACTGTCCTAACAAACAAAGGCAAAAAAGGGGATGCAATGGGGGGCAAGAGGGGAAAATGGGAGAAGCTTTCATGGCCCCAGGGGCATGGGGAGCCAATTAGGTAGAGTTAGGTTTAACCTCTAGTGCTACGCAGGCTCTGTTGTTTGTCTCAGTGACCTTTGCCCCCCCCCCCCCCCCCCGCAAAAAAAAACAAGGGAAGTAAATGTAAGCAATCATAACCAAAACAAAGAAACACATTTTATTCATTGTTGTTTCAAAATGTGAATTCCCTCTTTTTAAAATTGTATAAACCCTTTTTTTATGTAGCGTTAAAGTTTAGCCCATTAAACTGAACTGTGAGTAATTGTGGGCGGGGCATAGCCACGTCTGGACCTGCACAGAAGTCAGGATGACACAGAAAGCTGATCAGAGCCAGACAGAGGATGCTAATGTTAGCCATGAAGCTAGCACCGACGCTGATCCAACATGCATGTGATGATATTATAAAATGACATCTGCGGGCGGGCCTGGGGGGGGGGGCAAAGGTCAGTCAGCTGGACAGACATTAAAATGTCCAGCTGACAGTTGGTGAGAAATGTTCATTGTGACAGACAAGTGTTTGTAGTGGGGTTAAAGGTCACACAGTATGTTTGACATTTCTTTAAAAAACATTGTGATGAAGAATCATGGCAAAGTGATGATAACTGCATTAAAAAAAACATTACATCATTATACTAAACATCTCGTCCTCCGACAGAAAAGGGCAACAGTATGACTGCAAGTGGTACATCCCGCTGGCTGACCTGACGTTCCAGACCATCGAGGACTGCGAGTCCACCCCCATCCCTCTGGTCCAGGACGAGGAGATCGACGGCATGAAGATCAGAATCTCCCAGATCAAGAACGAGATCCAAAGAGAGAAGGTGATCTTTACACAAACGACACAACATGCAAAGTGAGAAGAGTGACTTAGAGGAACTGCGCTATGAAGCTCGAGAACAACAACGAGAGTTTAGTTTAAAAATAAAAACTAAAAAGAGGAACTAATGTGAGATATGGCTCATGTGAATAGAACTAAAGTCTAGACAGTCACCCCCTACATGAACTCTTTCTCTGTGAATCTGCAGAGAACCACGAAGGGACTCAAGGTGATCGAGCGACTTAAGAAGAAGTTATCAGAACAAGAGTCTCTGCTGCTCCTCATGTCCCCAAACATGGCGTTCAGAGTGGCCAACAAAAATGGAAAGGTGAGTCAGGGGTCCCAGAAGGTGAAGTACAGACTAAAATCACTGTGATATGTTTTTATGAGAGCTGTTCTTCTCACTGTCATAAACATCTCCATCTGGTCTCTGCTGCCCTCTGCTGTTGACCGAGCAACATTATAGCATGATAAAGTGTGATTCCCTTTCTTCTTCTTCTTCTAGGGTTTCACATTTCTCATCTCTTCTGACTACGAGCGTGCAGAATGGAGGGAGATTATCCACGAGCAGCAGAAGAAGTGTGAGTTTCATCTGTGTGGCTTCATCGTTCACCTTTAACCCCACACCTCACAGACTAAATGGACAGCTGACCACCTCACAGTGCAACACAAGTGTGCAATATTAACCTTAAAAACAAAAAACAGTGTAATTATATAATGATTATATCATTATATAATTATTATATAATGTGAAAAACATGTGTGCAATAACCTCAGGTGCAATAAGAGATGTAGAAAGTAGAGACAAGAAAACATTTATATTTTCAATTGTACAGTGTTCCCCTTTGTTATTTTTTTGTATTATATCTTTGCTTTAATACAGTGTATAGCTTCTGTACAGTTTATTTTAATTTACTTAACTGTTACTACAACATTTTTTATTTATATTTTATTTTATATATAATTTAACTTTTTTGTAGAAGCTGACTCAGGGAGAAACGCACAAGAATTCCAATGTACCTGTTCTGTCCTGTACCTGTACAAATGGCGATAAGCATCTATTCTATTCTAACCTTTAACCCTGCAGGTTTTAAGAGCTTCTCTCTGACCTCTCTGGAGCTGCAGATGCTCACTAACTCGTGTGTGAAACTTCAGACCGTCCACAACATCCCAATGACCATGAACAAAGAAGGTAATGTTCCCAGTGGATTCTGCTTTTGTGTGTGTGTGTGTGTGTGTGTGTGTGTGTGTGTGTGTGTGTGTGTGTGTGTGTGTGTGTGTGTGTGTGTGTGTGTGTGTGTGTGTGTGTGTGTGTGTGTGTGTGTGTGTGTGTGTGTGGTTTTGATTTGATCTTAATCTGCTTTCTTCACTCCTCAGATGATGAGTCCCCGGGTTTATACGGCTTCCTAAACGTCATTGTGCACTCTGCATCAGGGCTCAAACAGAGCTTAAGTAAGTGTCTTATTCTCCTCTTTTTAGCTAGAAATCCGCTTGATTATTCCAGAGGTTGCACGGGGGAGTTCCATCATCCTCTGTGCGGGTCCAGGCTGATCCTGCTTTACCCCGCCCCCCTCTGCCACTGTCAGCTGCAGGGAAACAAGTGGGATTAACCAGGAACACTGTGTACAGGTTCTCAAATCCCTGCTCGCTCAAAGTTTGTGCCTGTTGTCACATAAAGGTTTTCTGTAAATACTCAGCGGTGTGGGTGAGATGGTGTAGAGTCCACTTCTCACAGGTGTTTCCGGTTTTACTAAAAGGGCTTTCACACTTACAGAAAACTCCTGATATTTCCAGGAGGAGCTGTATGTGTGAACACAAACAGAAACATTTTTCTCTCAGACTTAAGCCGGAGTTTCTCCTCCAGCCTCCTCATATTTATTCTGCAGAAAGTCAGAGTAAGCTGATGTGAGAACACAGCAGGATATAATCAGGAGAATTCACCTGGAGCCAGTGGGAGGGGGTGGTGACCTTTATTCACATGTGATCGCTGCACGACCATAGACTGTCTGCACGCCACCTCTATTATCTCTGTGCTCTAATGAACCTGCTGCTGCATGTTTCCTGTTCTCCAGTATGTTCTTCTCCACTCTTTAGTTCACATTGAGATTCTCTTCAACTACACGTAGCATTGATACAAAGACACATATTCTCACTATAGAGTCGCATAGAGCAGGGTGTTACGGTTTGTATCCAGACCCAAAAGCAGACACAGCAGCAAAGTTGAAGGATTTGAGGTTTTATTGCAGGGTTAGGGAAAGGTGAATGACTGACTGGCTGGCTGGTAATGACGCCATGGAGGAGACTATGGAGTAGCTGGTTCTGTAGGCAGGCAGGTGAGTGGTTGTGTTGTCTGTGAGGAGAGCAGACTGGAGGAGATGACACGGGTGAGAATCTGGACAACAGGAGAGAAAAATCAGTTAGGATCCACTAGTAAAACGCTAGGAACAAAACTCTAACAAATGTTAGGAGCAGCCGATAGTATCTACCACTTCAGTAGACTCAATAATCTGGCAATGAGTTGAGTTGAGCCCAGGGCTTTTAGCTTGAGGCAGATGAGCAGATGAGCTGCAGGTGTGAGTAGTCACCCGGTGTTGATTGCAGCCACACCCTCCAGAGACACACACACAGACAGACCGAGGGGGAGGGGACACAAAGGATACACAGAAACAGGATCACAGCCAGAGCCGTAACACAGGGATTCTAAAAGTTTTTTGGCTTGTGTACTCCCTTGTCCAGCCAAGAACATTTTACCTCCTCCACCTCATTATCCCTAACTGATTCCTTACCTCTTAATAAGCTGTTCATTTTTATCTTCTGGGTCCGCGCTCTTGTTAGCATGTGAACGTTTGCTGAATAATTCACCTCAGCAGACGGAGGCCCTCTGGTCCAAGCGGTTCTGCACATAATGCAAGCTATATTAAAAATTGTGCCCTATCCTCAATGCCCTATTTGATGTCGCATGGAGAACATATGATATTAATTAAGTTGTCTGAAATCAGTGTATGGATTTTCCTTTAGACACTTAATTTGGCTTGTGATGCTACTTTTGACATTTGTCACATACCCTTTGCAGTACTCCCACGTACCCCTAGGAGTACACATACCCCCATTTGAGAAACTCTGGTATAGAGGACTCTGTTGCTTCGTCTGCTACTTCTGCATTGTTCTTTTTACATCACATCTTACCTCAGGAGATCCCCCTGCACATAATGCAAGCTATATTAAAAATGAATATTCTCAAGTTATTACAAGAAATAATCTAGATGTTTTCAGGATTGCATGTGGGAAACCGGCTTAAAAAAAAGCAAGTCAAAACATGTCACCAGAGAGAGAGACTTCTGGTAGGGCAGCATATGGTTGCCTTTGTTCGTACACGCCTCGACCAGGTTATTGATGTTAATCCTCAGTTTGACTTTCTTTATGATTCAGCCGGTAAACTTCTGCTTGTGTCCCTGTAGATCTGTACTGCTCCCTGGAGGTGGACTCCTTTGGATACTTCGTCAACAAAGCCAAAACACGTGTGTACAGAGACTCCACAGAGCCCAACTGGAACGAGGTGAGAGTTCAGATCGTGAGGAGAAACTGAATGACTGAATGAATGAATGAATGAGGCGCTGCTGCTGTGTGTCTGCACATCTGAGACAAACCTGTGAAATAAAGACAGAAGAGGTGTTCACTAGATAAACTGAGGATGCGTGTGTGTGCAGCAGGCTGATCGCTACAGTAACCCGTCTCTGTGCTCTTCTCATACCAGGAGTTTGAGATTGAGCTGGAGGGCTCTCAGACTGTGAGGCTGCTCTGCTATGACAAGTGCTGCAACAAAACCAAGCAGAGCAAAGAGGACGGGGAGATCACGGACAAGATCATGGCCAAAGGACAAATAAAGGTATGGATGAACCTCAGTTTAATGCCCCTGTGTAACCGGGAATAATCTGGAAAGCCCAGATGGGGTACTGTTAGATGCCCCTAATCTGTTCTGCTCCATGTGACAGTACAGAGCTCCCTCTGCTGATTGCAGGGCCTCCACAGTGGTGACTTATCCAACCCGCTGACCCACCGTGGGACCCTTGCCCTGTGGGGGCCTGCACTGTTTGAAAAAGAAATCAGTCATTTGGTTTGCCAGTGGGTCGTTTCAGCTTGGCCCCGGCTAGTGTGTTGTGACAGAGGGCGGATTAGACTCTGGGAAGCGGTTGGCAAAGCTCCAGAGTATGACACAGACACAGAGGGCTCTGTGATCGGCCTGTGCAGGGATTTATCCGCTGGCATCGTCACGCAGAAACAAGCCGTGTTATTGAAGAGCTCATAGCCCAGAGAAAAGACACCTGTCAGGTATTTACTGTCCACTTGTCATGTTGTCCTCCTCCTGCTCAGCTTCATGTCTTCAGTGGTGGTATCTTTAAACTGACTCAGTCGACTGTGCACCACATGGGAGGAAAAGACGCCCACTGCACACAGCAGGACAGAGGCTGCTGTAAAATAATCATTAGTTAATATATGTAAATATTGATTTATGAAATTATTGTATTTGTGTATTGTGTGTCCTTGGGCTCACTCTGTGTTGCTCCTGCTACTGCTTTCTGCGTCTGCGGCGGTGACAGTGGCTCAATCTGTAGGGACTTGGTTTGGGAACTGGAGGTTCGCCAGTGCGGACAAAATCTGGAAATTAGTCACACACTGATGGCAGAGGCTGCTGAGTAACTCATCCATTGATGAGTTACTCAGCAGCCTTTACCATCAGTGTGTGAATGTGTATAAATGGATGAGTTAATACTGATGGACTCTTTAATCAGCAGCCTCTACCATCAGTGTGTGAATGTGTATAAATGGATGAGTTAATACTGATGGACTCTTTAATCAGCAGCCTCTACCATCAGTGTGTGAATGTGTATGAATGGATGAGTTAATACTGATGGACTCTTTACTCAGCAGCCTCTACCATCAGTGTATGAATGTGTATGAATGGATGAGTTAATACTGATGGACTCTTTACTCAGCAGCCTCTACCATCAGTGTGTGAATGTGTATGAATGGATGAGTTAATACTGGTGGACTCTTTACTCAGCAGCCTCTACCATCAGTGTGTGAATGTGTATGAATGGATGAGTTAATACTGGTGGACTCTTTACTCAGCGGCCTCTACCATCAGTGTGAATGTGTAGGTGTGACCTGTGGAGTAAAAGAGCTTTGAATATGTTTGAAAAGAACTCTACAAGCTCAAGTCCTTTTAAAGTGAGGGTTACATCATGGATGTGTTTAATGAATATTGTTTCCGGGTTGGTGACGATGAGCGTTAAAAGGTCACTAGAAGCACTTATCAGAATCTGTCCTGAGAGAATCCTCTTCAGGCCACCTGAGGCGCTCAGTTACCAGGCAGCTCTCCTGACTGTGACAGGCATGAGCCCGTCAGTAATGAGGGTAGGAGGGGATTCTCAGGAGTTAATCCTTTCAAATCCATTGGAGAAGTAGAACAACAGAGAGGCGAGCGTGCACGGCAGCCTGCGTGGCTTTGTTCTTTTTTTTTTTTTTGCTGGATCTCACTGGAATGAAAGGATCTGGACCCTAACAATGCCAAGACATGAAGATGACTCTGAAAGGTTCTGTGAAGATTCTGCTAAAAGATCCTCAAGACTCTTCAAGGCAATGTGACGACTGTCTGTTTGACCATGGAAGAAGGACCCGCCTCTCTTGTTAGTGCCGTTGTGATATCTGTGTGAACAGCGCTTTCTTTTTCAACTTGTTAAACATTAGCCTGTGAAAAGAACCGAAGCGCATGCCTGTGAGAATGAGTGAGAGTTATCCTCTGGAGGAGGAGATTGTGGATCAGGCTGGTACCGGTCCAGAGGATGAGGGGGACTCTGCTCCAAGGAAAACCCAGAGCACAGGGGCCCGTCTGTGGGAACGAGTCCGCAGCAGCCTGCTTAGGCCAAAGGTACAGATATGAGGAGAGCAAAAGCACAAGGATGATTGTTTATAGGACGATTTGGGGACTTGTTTTTATTTATTTTGGCCGATGTTTTGAACCTTACTTGAGTAATAATACGTTAATCATTTGTATTTCTGTTGGGACCGATCTCTTCATGATTTTTAAAATAATGTTTACAGCATGTGTTCTCTCTGGACGGGATTGGATGGTTTTCTTGGTAGAAAAGGAAGTCGGAGCGGCACAAAGCTTAGTGTTGAGGACATTACTCATTCCTGATCACTATATTAGTCAGATGACCAAAATAGATCAGTGACATGAGACGACCCTGCGTGGCCATATGGCTGAGTGTAGTGACTAAGCAGATAACACCTTTATTTACCTACAGACAGGAAACTCAGCTCCAACTGGACGTCTCAAGTTTTCACTTTTGGTGATTTGATTTGATTAAAGCTTAAATACTTTCTGGTTTTAAAGTTCAGTTCTGTACGTTTATAATGAAGTGACGTTTAAAATTTCAAATCTCCTCTTCTGTTTCAGCTCGATCCTCAGGCGTTACAGAACAAAGACTGGCAGAGGACGGTCATCGCCATGAACGGGGTAAGTGTTTCTATAGAGAAAAGATCGACTCCAAAACTGAAGTCAGCTTTTGATTAGTGAATAACCTGCACAAAAAGGTAAAGGAGCAATATGTAACTGCACTTTTTAAGTGTTAGCCGGTCCCTTACAGTCACAGTGCCTGCTGTTTAGCTAAAGGTTAGCTTAGCTGAAAGGAGCACATGGTCGTTATATAACAGGTTGTCTTTACGTGTTTCAGATTGAAGTGAAACTTTCCATGAAGTTCACCAGCAGAGAGTTCAGTCTTAAGCGGATGCCTTCACGGAAACACTCCGGCGTCTTCGGAGTGAAGATCAATGTTGTGACCAAGTGAGTTGTTGACAAGTTCTGTATTTTTGTCATGCACATGATGAACTCCAGTATTTCTATTAAAATATTAAAGGTCACATATTCTCCTCCTCTTCAACCAGGAGTCTCAGAGCTCCTCAAAACATGTGTGTGAAGTTCCTTGTTCTAAATCCACTCTGATCCTGTATTTGATCATCTCTATAAACCCCTCTATTTCAGCCCTGCTCAGAACAGGCTGTTTCTGTGTCTGTACCTTTAAATATGTAAATGAGCTGTGTCTGACCACGCCCCCTCTCAAGAAGGGCTTGGGTGTACTCGGTCTTTCTCGCTCCATGTCCTATTGTTTACGGTGAGAAGGCAGACTCAGAGGGCAGAACAAACACCTAGCTGTGGGAGTGTCACCCGCCTGGGGGAGGGGTTACTGCCCTTTGTGATGTCATGAAGGGAAAATCTCCAAACGGCCTGTTTGAGCACACATTTTCTGAAAAGTGGAGCAGGCAAAAGACGGAGAGGATGGACTTTTCTCATCATTGGGGGGTTTGTAGACAGACTAGAGACACATATTAGAGTTAGAGGAACATGGTGAAGTGGATTTTTCATTTTATGTGACCCTTTAAACATTTGTTTTGAATTGGCGCTATACAAATGAAGAAGCAGAGGTTTCACTTCTGCATTAATACTATTAATAATGTCGGTAAACACGATAGGCAATGTCAGGACCAGATAAATGAAGATCAGCCATATTTCCGTTTGTTACTTGGACTTCATTTAACTGACAGTGACATGTTAAAAATATAAAGATATTCACTAGTGACCTTACCAAGAGTTGTTAACAGAGATGCAGCTTTTTGGGCTTTTATTTTACTCAACAAAATCTTGTTTCTTAGTTGTGAACAATATAGCGAGATGGTTAATGTGGTGTTATTTTTGTAAGGAGCAGAGCGTTCCCCTGTGATGACATATATAAGTACCTCTTTGGTGTCTTGTGTTTACTGCTTTTTGACGTTTTGAGTTTGACGCTGGCCCTTTAAAGCTTGTCTCTGCGTGTCTTTGTCCTCACCAGGCGAGAGCGCTCAAAGGTCCCCCTCATTGTGAGACAGTGTGTGGAGGAGATAGAGCGACGGGGGATGGACGAGGTGGGAATCTATCGGGTTTCCGGCGTCGCAACTGACATCCAGTCACTGAAGGCTTCATTCGACTCAAGTGAGTTCAGTCTCATTTCTGATTTCTCGTCACAGCTGATCTTACAAATAATGATGACATAACAAAACGTTGTGTTCCCCGCAGACAACAAAGATGTGTCGGTCATGATGAGGGAGATGGACGTAAACGCCATCGCTGGAACTCTGAAGCTGTATTTCCGCGAGCTGCCGGAGCCTCTCTTCACCGACGAGCTCTACCCAAACTTTGCTGGAGGCATCGGTCAGTCCCTGATGCTCTAATCTGTGTTTTCACAGAAGTCACAGAAATGTAGTTTGTGTGTGGAGCTGCCGCCACATTCACGTGTTCTTGTGCCTTGCAGCTCTCTCCGACAGTGTGGCCAAAGAGAGCTGCATGCTCAACCTGCTGCTGTCTCTACCAGAGCCCAACCTGGTCACCTTCCTCTTCGTGCTCGACCATCTGAAAAGGTAAAAAGCGTCACGATTCACACTGTGTTGGTACCGATTTATGTAAGTCTTTGTGTCTGTTGCTTATGGACATAGATCTTTTTTTTTTCAAAGATAGTGTAAAAGAGCTTTGAGTAGTCAGAAGACTAGAAAAGAACTTTACAAGCCCAAATCCATTTACCATTCAAGTCCAGATAGACGCCGTCGGCCCCTCCAACTCGCTTGTGGTGAATTTTTCTCAATATTTCCTGCTGCGTTCTCGCACTGGCTCACACAGACTCATTATCATTTTACTTCGGGCAGGAAAAAAGATCGACTCCAAAACTGAAGTCGGCTTCTGATTAGTGAATAAGCTGCACAAAAAGTTGAATCACATGTTAAAGGAGCAGTATGTAACTCTGACCCCTAGTGTTTAAAATGGGTACTGCAGTCTAAATTCTAAACATTGTAGAGAGCTGTCTCCCCCCCCGCCCCCTCCTCTCTAGAGTCGATGCTCACACAGGTCACCATGTGGTGGACACTGAAGCTTCAGGTGGCGGGCAGGAAAAAATCTGGCTGAAGTTGGGGTGAAGAAATCAGCTGTTTGTGTTCCAGATGCAGCCAACCTTGAAAATATAGGGACATTTTCAGGAGTTTTGTGCATGTGTGAACGGGGCTTCTGTGGAGTTTTCTTTCCCAAAATTAAACTTTATTTTAAATTTATAAAATAAAAATCACATTGAATCTTTGGCAGCATGCTGTTCATTTAGCAGGGACGACAGTCTCATAAATGATCTATAAAGAAATAATCAGTTGTCTCATGAGCTGGTCCTGTTTGCTTTGTGCACCACACAGGCATCACTTTTAATATGACTCTAATATGAGTTCCTTCTTTGATGAAGAAGTTCTGGATCTGGTTTGAATTGTTGAATGTAATTTATGTCTCTTTGCTCTCACAGGATTGCTGAAAACGAGTGCGTCAATAAGATGTCTCTGCACAATCTGGCCACGGTTTTCGGGCCGACTCTGCTCAGGCCGTCTGAAAAAGACAGCAAAGTCTCCAACAGCTCGCAGCCGATCTCCATGAACGACAGCTGGTCTCTGGAAGTCATGGCTCAGGTAAAAGTCCAGCCAGGATGCTGATGAGTTCAGCCCCCGTTTCCAAGAAGAAGAACGTGACACAGTTAAAAAAAAATCAATGATTCCCAGGAATGTCCTTAATTAATGCTGTCGCACGGGGACTGCTGATTCCTTTAGGGTTGGATCAGTACACTTGGCAACCCAACAGAAGGTTAGTTAAGATAAGATAGAATAAGATAATCCTTTATTTATCCCACAACAGGGAAATTCACAGTGTTACAGCAGCAAAGAGCAAAGATTGCAAACAAAATGTGAACACAGTACACAATTTAAATTTAACAAGAAAAATAAGAATGTACAAAAAATAGATAGATACCACAATATAGATTTAAAAAAATAGAGCTGAGAGCTGCAGTTTTTAGTTATTGACCTTGTCATGTATTTTGACCGTGGAAAAGCCAAAAATTAGTACCGTACCGAACCAAACTGAACATGGCTCTAGACGCTGACATCTGGTCTGCCTGTGTGCCTCTGAACATGTGTTCTGTATGTTTGCAGGTGCAAGTCCTCCTCTACTTCCTGCAGCTGGAGAGCATTCCGGCGCCGGACAGCAAGCGTCAAAGCCTTCTCTTCTTGTCTGAAGTATAGCACTCAAACACCCGTCATCAACGCTCGCTTCAGAGGCAGAGCGTCAGCCCCGCTTCATGTTGTGGAAGCTGCTGAGCTGGTCGACCCTGAAGATGCTGAATTTAGCCACAAGGTGGAGACATTCACACGCTGTAAACAGGAAACAGTCCCCATGACTAAAAGCCATCAGCATGTGTGTTTTGTTTACAGTGTCAGGAAACGACAGCCCGATATGGGGGTGTGGCTAAACTCTATCATTCCTTTTTATAATTTAAAGAAGCATTAATTAAGATCCTTCATTTTCCACTTGCTCCACATTCACAGGCGGGGCGCTCTGCTGTGTGTGGACGTTTTGGGTGCTTGGGTTTTTATTTTGTCCCTCAAAAATGTTTGACTTTGTTGTAAGCTTGCCTGTGCCAATGATTCCGTGCTGATGACCAGTAGAACATTTCAGTCCCCCCCTCCACCCTGTGTTTACACGCTCTTAATTTTTATACAGAATAATAACGTCTGAGACTGAACACTGTAGTTAATCAAAGCAACGTGCAGGCATGTTGACCGAACCTTTGGGGAGTGTTTATCTGTCTGTATGACGACTCTGACCTGGATGTAGATTTTTTTTGAGGTGACAGGTGAATCATTCCAGGACGAGGCTTGATAGTCGCCTGGAGTTGATGCTGTGCTGTGTATAAATGTAAGCTCACAGTTGTCTTTGGTCCATATCTCACATGTTTCCTACCCACGTTGTTTTCAAGTTTCTGTTGGATCTGATTCCTTCTCTTAAAGTCATGTACTAGTCGATGTGTTTTCCATTCCTGTGCTCCCTCTCTGTCGTCAAACCATCGAAAGACAAAACCAAACTAGCTGTAGAACTCAGAGCTCCAGGAGATCGTCTCAGATACCAAAATGTGTCAGTGTTAAAAAGCTTTATGCTCAGTGATTCTCACATATCGCAGTCAGCTGGTCTATCTACAGGTTTGTCATCCTGTGCCTAGTATTACTTTTCAACACTGTTTGAAAATACACTGCGTCATCCTGAGGTCATCCTGGATCATCCTGAGGTCATCCTGTTTCCTAATCACTTCAAGTACTCCTCTCAGCTCAAACTCTACAGGCTGCTGATTTATCTCCAATAAGCAATAACTCTGATTCTTGGCCTGAAAATGACGTGTTGGTGTTTGTAAGTATGATGAATGTAAATAAAATCTTGCTAACTTTATTCTTGCAGTTTGTGTGCCGGTATGTCAATAAATATCTTCACACTTCAACATGTAATCTCTGACACAACTCTCTTTTCTCCAGGCTCGTCAATGATCCAGTCCTCCTTTGTAAATAGTAGTTAGCACATACAGAGCTTCTTTATACTCTGAGGTGTCCCAACTAGATAAGATTAACCTTTATTTATCCCACATAGGAGACGCTTAGTGTTACAGCAGCAAAGAGGGAGGAGAGAAAATAAAGAGCACAGGAGTTAAAAAAATGAAAGAGCTGAATCTGAACATTCACAGCTGTATAGAAAAAAGGATATGCAGGGTAATGGACTTGAGCTTTTACTCCGCAGGTCACACCTACACATTCTCACACTAATGGTAGAGGCTGCTGTGTAAAGAGTCCATCAGTATTAACTCATCCATTCATACACATTCACACACTGATGGTAGAGGCTGCTGAGTAAAGAGTCCATCAGTATTAACTCATCCATTCATACACCATGACGTAGCAGTGGGAGCAACTTGGGGTTAAGTGTCTTGCCGAAGGACACAACGGACATGTGGCTGCAGGAGCTGGGGATCAAACCCTCGACCTTCCAGTTGTGAGACGACCGACTCTACCAACTGATCCACAGCCACCATTATTATCATTGGCGGCTGTGGCTCAGTTGGTAGAGTTGTCGTCTCCAAAACTGGAATGGGATTAGTTACTTCTGAGGGTCTCATTACATAGCAACCTCTGCCATCAGTGTGTAAATGGGTGTGTATGGGTTGGTGTGACATCCAGTGTAAAAAAAAACGGATAGTCCAGTTACCATTATGTCTATCTGGGAAAATAAAAGACGGTTTACTGTCGGGGGAAGTATTTCTGGAGTTTGTGTTGTAATGACATTTCTAATAAAACTTATGTAATGTACTTGAGTCTGGGTTAGGGTCCTTGTGTATGTAACATGCGTGACATGAAACCCTGGATCAAAGCAAAAATTCCTTCAAGGTGTTCACACACACACACACACACACACACACACACACACACACACACACACACACAGTCCCGTGGTCTAAATGAAACATTTGTGCTGTGGTCAAAATATAACATGAATCGGGGCGTTGGTGGCACAGTGGTTAGTGCGCACACCCCATGTAAGGAGGCTATAGTCCTCAAAGTGGGCAGCCCAGGTTCAAATTCAGCCTGTGGCTCCTTCCCGCATGTCATTCCTGACTCTCTCTCCCTGATTTCCGACTCTATCCACTGTCCTATCTCTCAATTAAAGGCCTAAAATGCCCAAAAATAAATCTTCAAAAAAAAAAAATATATATATATATATATAACATGAATCAAGCACCAGAGGAGGTTTGTGACCCTGTATAAACCAGCTCTCTCAGAACGCTCCGTTTTGGTGTGTGTGTCTCTTTAAATGTAATGACCCCCCCCCTGAGTTTTCCCAGTAGACATCACTCCTCTGTAGAGAGAATGAAAATGGAGGACCTGTGCAAAAGTTTTGTTCTAGGCTGGGGGTGGAGTCCATGGGTGGAGATACCAGGGGAGGGGAGGGGATTTTTTTTTTTTACCAGAATCCCACTGTGACATCACAAGGAGAGCACATTGTAAACAGAGCATTTTTCTCTGTGTTGTAAGACTTATGCAGACCACAAACAAAGGACTGGATGGGTTTATTTCACATTTTGTGGGTCAGTAGACACTCAGGTTACACAAATATATGTTCAACAACACTGTAGAAGTGGATTATTCAGAATATGTCCCCTTTAAGGTGTAGACCATAGACTGTTAATATTAAGGTATATTGGGCTTGGTTGGAGAAAAATAAATTGGACACAATAATATTAAATGCCGGATTTTTAACTCTCCTCACGGGGAATTTACTGCCCCCCTCCCCTCCTCTTTCAGTGGGTGATGTTGAGATGATGCAACCAGAGGAGGGGGCAGCAGCAGCAGATGATCATCCGGCTGCTCAGAGGGGCTCACATCCGTAAACGATGCTGCCTGTCGTTGTGGGTCAGCGAAGTGTTAGCGACCACGGACATGTAACCACCCATTAAACAGAAAACACAGGTGAACACCAGGTAAGAATATTTGATCAGTTTAATGACACAGCGCTTTTCTGTGTGTCGGCTAATGCTATCATTGTTCGCCTATCAGTAGCATTGTTAGCATTAGCATTGTTAGCATCCTTAGCTTTTTTCATTGTTTACTGACAGTTAAGGACAAACTTTCCGACTGACAACAAACACAAACACCTACTTTGAAGTTACGTTAACTACGCAGACTCACTTTGTCCTGTTTGTTCGTCTTAAATAACGTGACAGTCATTGTTTGAAACCTTAAACTAGATTTTTGGACAGCAGCTATCAAGCTAAATAAAAACAGCATGGCTTTCTCTACTATGATTGATTTCAAAATAAGATAGATGTGTCGAAGTGGTAGCCAACTATAATTTATAATTATTTACCTCATTGTGACTGCGTTAACCACTTATTAAAGTTGAATCCAGCTTTCCTTTTTAATTTAAAGCAACTTGGTTATTCCGTTCATTAGTAAATCAGTTTTGTTGTATTTTTACGACATGATTTGAGTTGTCGTTTGGTATTAATTATATATAACTAAAAATCTGAAAATGTGAAAGTTTTAAGGGAGTTTTGATATTATTATAAGTTTCAGTTTAAGTTGGTGTTGGGGCTTTTGTTCTGAAAGTCAAACAGGAAGTGAAATAACTGACATTCCCTGCGTGCCTGACATTTTAGCTAAAGCTAACTAGCTAGCAGGGTTATCTCTGTGTTTTCAAGTTGTTACTCCGTATTTACTGAACCAGTTTTCACGTTTTCTGTCTTAATGGATTAAAAATAGTCTCCACCTAAAATGTTTAGTTGATATATTATGTCTTTATGTGGTTAATTAACAGTAATACGGCTAACGTTATTTGTGTTAAGTGGGTGTAGCCAAGAACAAAGTACATTTCTCCCGAGCAGAGTCAACAGTGAACTGATGTTGCAGCTTGTCAGTAACCTTTGGGTGGTCCTAAAGACACATTACTGCAGACTTGTGGCCTCTGTGTGTGTGTACTGCTCAATCATCCTCTCAAACATACTCAGGTCATTTAAAATATTCATTGCCTTTCCTGGAAAAGCCTGGAAAGTTGATGTTTCTTTGCCCTCTCTTTCAATCAATGTCCAAGATATTTCACTCATGACATAAAACTGTCTCGCCTTTGCTTTGCTTTAGAAAATAGCTTAGTGAAAAAGTCCCCATTGTTATAAACTGTTGCATGTCACTGAAGTGGCACAGTGGCAGCTGTGGTTCAGAGTCAATCGTGTTACAACCTGAAGGTCGTGGGGTCGATCCCCCAGCTCCTTCAACTACTTGTCAGATGTGTCCTTGAGCAAGACAATTAACCCAAAGTTGCTCCCGCTAATTCTCATGTCAATCTTTATTTTGTCAACCCATAACAAGTGTTATCTCGAGACACTTGACAAAAAGCAGGTACAATACCTTACTCTTTGTTATTTAACCCAACTGATGGGCTCTTTACTCAGCAGCCTCTACCATCAGTGTGTGAATGTGTATGAATGGATGAGTTAATACTGATGGACTCTTTACTCAGCAGCCTCTACCATCAGTGTGTGAATGTGTATGAATGGATGAGTTAATACTGATGGACTCTTTACTCAGCAGCCTCTACCATCAGTGTGTGAATGTGTATGAATGGATGAGTTAATACTGATGGACTCTTTACTCAGCAGCCTCTACCATCAGTGTGTGAATGTGTATGAATGGATGAGTTAATACTGATGGACTCTTTACTCAGCAGCCTCTACCATCAGTGTGTGAATGTGTAGGTGTGACCTGCGGTGTACAATCTCAAGTCCATTTACCATTGAGCAGGGCATGGCTGATATGAATATTTAGATGTCGATACTGGAACCAATATTAAGGAGAGTAAAAAATCTGGTACCGATATACCAGCTGACATCTTTCTTATATCTATCTTCGATCTATCTGGACATATCAGATATAAAATTAGCCGATGCTGATAGTCATGTGATACGCTAATATCAGCCGATAATGTCGGCAAACCGATTAATCAGCTGGGCTCTACAATCGAGGAGACAGATGGAAATGTGTTATCATGAGAACTTATTATCAATCAGAACTAAACATATGTTCATATTGGTTACATATGATGAGGATGAATCCGTAGGCATGACAACTCGTCCACACATTATGTAGATAACGTCCTTATGGATTCTGGATTGAGTCGCTTGCAGGTTGATGCAGAAGAGGAAAATATGTCACTCACAGCATTTAAGTGACTGATCTTTTATTTGTCTAAATGATGCATTTTTATAAAAATGGCCTCTTTGCAACTCGTGCTTATGATCATGAGGTAGGTTTTGGTCAATGAATCTCAAAGTTTGACCATGTCCGCTCCCTGTAAGGAGGACTGATGCCTGTGTGTGCTTGTTAACAGAGTCACCTTTGGAGTGTTCTCTGTTTCTTTTTCAACTGGAGACGCTACCACAGGAAGCCAATGTTATGGCTAGGAAGTGCCTCGGCGCAGATAAAGCATGAATAAGGAAGGAGAGTGGAAAAGGGGGTCGTGAGTACTGGTACCACCCCCCCTGCCTCCGTCCTTTCTCAGATGTTAGATGTCTGTTACGTCTGCGTCCTCTGTCTCAGTTTCATGCTTTGTTCAACTTTCTGTGAAAGAACACAACATCCGCTTGTTCCTTTGCTCAGCCCTCGATCACATCCTTTTGAATTCATGACCTCTGTGATAAAATCCTGGAGCTCTACATGAATCAGGACGAAGTGTTGGTGGCCCCCCGATCGAGGGGGGAGCAGCTTATTCTGCACAAAGCGATATTTGGTTGTGTGTGGTTGAGGATTTTTGCACGTGTTTATATTTCTATTGAGACCCTTTTTACTCTCACAGCAATATCAAAGTGATGAGAGCTGGAGCTGATGCGGGTGCCTTAAGCCACCTGACAA